GTGTGTGTGTTTAGCTCACCTCTCTCCAGGAAGCAGAACCAGAGCACGAGGATGTTCCAGGATCGAAGAGTTGAGCAAAGTGTGGCGCAAATCTCCATCAGGGTTAGAAACCTTCAAACAGCACAATAAATCAGTTTATGAATAAAGTCGCGAAGGTTTGTGACTTTTAAAATATGGGTCCCCAGAAAAAACACTGCTTTATGTCACTGATCACACAACCATCCACTCCAGCATGCAACTGGATTCCAAAATAAACAAAAAATGTGATTTTTTATTTTTTTATTTTATTTGAATGTCCAGCATCTAAGCTGTCTGTAGAGAAAAATTCTGGCCCGACCACAAACAGACTCTGAACCTGTGCAACACTTTGTACCTCAATCTTCCGAGCTCCAGCATCAACCCAGTACAGGAGTCTGCTTATGGGGTCAAAGGTCAGGGCCTCCACATTCTGCAGGTCCTTCCTCACTACGACCTCCTGACCTGTGCTGCCGTTCAGACACAGACGCTGCAGGGGAAAAAAAGGACGCGGTCACACGAGCAGGTTCCGCCTCAGTCAGTGTTTGCACGTTAACTTTTTAGACACTTCAGATCAATGCCAGAGGTCAGAGCCACTGACCTGTATTGTGTCCAGGGAGATGTCAGCCCAGTACAGACAGTTTCTGTCATAATCAAAGTCCAGAGCCACAGCTTCCCTGAGTCCGGCCAGAGGCAGAGCCTGGTCCGTGCCGGTGGCCAGGTCGTAGCGGTGGATGGAGTTTCTCACGGCGTAAAGAATGAACTCGTTACTCTCTGTGGAGAAAGAAATTCAGACGACAAAAGTTTGATCTGGATCTCACTCACTGGCTCATCTTTAGAGGCAGCTGTTGATTTAAAAAAAATAAAAATTTATAAACATGTTATATTATCATTAACATTTGTCTAGTTATTGAACTAATTTACTATTGATTATTATTTTAATGAAATAACAAAATGATCCACATGTTTGCTGCCAAAGTAAATAGTCCATTTATATCCCAGAATGTATTTTAAGAAATTAATTGGTTTGATTTAAAATGAAAACAAAAAGATAAAACAAACTGAAGGTTTAATGTGACGTAAATAAAAACATAAATAAATAGTAGACCGTTAAATAAATAACAAGTCGACCGTTTATAAAAAAGGTTCTACTTTTATGTAAACATGGTCTATTTGCACTGAATTTCAATGAGGGGATTTTTTTTCGTTTTGACCTGAAGTTAAACTAAAAGCATAACAGACACCAACATGACAATTCACACGATGTACTTCAATGGAAAATAAAAACAAGTTGAAGTGGTGAAGTTTTGTTTTCAAATATTTATCTACTCTCTCACTCTGTAAACACCAGACTTGAAGAAGCTTCAGCTGGAACATCAACAAACCCAGACAGTCCACTTATCCTGAACCACTTTGTACAACGTGGGTCATTATTGACCCCAAAGGGTGAAACCTGTTGGCATCTAAGAGGACATTATAGGAATATATTTTTTAAACTCAAATAATAAATAGCTGGCGGAACAGAACAGAGGATCGTTCTGGTGAAACGTGTATCACTTTCTCAACTACACAGAAACTGTCCATCCGTAAAGCTGTGGTAGGCAGGATCAATAAAAAAAGGAAAGTGAATACTCCACACAGTCCAATCAACACGTGGCCCAGTGTCGGCGGCTGTTGAAAAAAAAAAAACGCCGTGTAAAGAAAAGCCGAAGAAGAATGTCACGGCTTCAACACTTATTAGACGCCACAATGGCAGAAGGAACAAAAGGAACCGTCTCGAGCTGCTGCTCCTCGGTGTGTAACGGATGAAGAAGGTCGGCGACAATGGCCTCGGACCTTCAGAGGAGCCGCTCGCTCTCATCCTCCAACCTCACACCCAGCTCTAAGGGTAACTTAAAACAGTTCTTTTGGGTCAGTCCCAGACCTAGGCTCAAACAACAACAATGTGAAGAGGTTTTTTTTTTTTCTTCAGTGACGTTCACTAAGCTCCTTAGGTCTCTCCATGTCAGAGATGACAAAACATCTTAGGACTCATCACCTACTGCCGGCTTTCTGCCTGGTTCAAGGACCATGTTTGTCTGTAATTAATGTATTAAAATATTCCACTGCATTGTTTCCCAGAGACTGGGTCGCAATTTTTTTTTTTGGGTCAACAATAAAATATCCTCATTAATGTTCAATAATGGTCGAGTACACCTTTATTTTGTGATTTACGAATATTGTCTATTGACTCCGGTCGCAAAGGTTTGTGACTTTTAAAAGTTTGAGAAACACTGAACTTTGGTGTGTTAATAATCTGAATCTTCTTCAGAAACGCCCTTTATTTCTGAACTGTCCTGTGATTGGACACTGTTTAATGTCGCATTCTGACGTCACCAGCTGCAGATTAAAAACACAGGAGTTGTTTGGACACATTACTGCGTCTCATATTAATTCCGCCCTTCTCCCTTTGGTGGTTCTCAAAGTAGGGGGTGGGGGACGCACCAATGCTAGCTGCAGACTTCAACTGGAATGACTGCATTGATTTGTTTGCGTGATCAATGAACTTAATAAAGAGCAGTTTCACCTCCCACAGGACACGGCAGCATCTCTCCATCCAGCCTGGACTCCACATCGCCCCCACTGCAGCTGTCTCCCGGAACCTTCCGGTAACTGCAGCACAAAACAGGAAAACAACTGAAGTCGACCGTGGTATAAATGATGAATTTATACCATTTTACAAACATAAACAATAAGACTGGTCAATATGAACACCTGCCTTTAAAATAAATGACTTGATAAATAAATGTGATTTTAATTTCATTTTTCATTATTGTTTTTGATCTGTGGCTTTTTGTATGAACATTAATCTTTTTTTATTAATTTATTGTTGATAATACTTTAAATTTGTTATTATTTTTATTTGCACCCTCGTGATTTTAATGTGAATTTTGTTTCATTATTTTAATATTTTTATGATAAAATAACTCACCGAGGAAAATACATTTTTTATAAGAGTTGTGTTTGCAACGATTAAAGGAAAGAAAAAAAATCAAATTAATTAATCAATAAAAATAAACCAGACAAAAACCTCTCTGTTCCTCCACAGATAATGATCTCAGTCTTGAACTCCAACTGAGCAGTTCATTTTCTTCTCAGCATTAACAAGCATTATCAAGGCCGCACTTTTCATCGACTGAAGCCGTACACAGCAGCAGCTCACCCTTTACTGCGTCTGTACGTGGTACCGACGGGACAGGGAACCGGTGGAGCGTAGAGGTCACCTGAGAACTCAGGGTCAGGAACGCACACCTGCAGAGACAAGTCCTCGCTCAGCTTGAAGCCGTAGTCACTGGAGGGAAGAAGAGATGAGGAAAAACTGAACAACAACGACAACAACAACAACAACAACGACAACAACAACAACAACAACAACAACAACGACCTGTTCGCTCTGATTATTGTCTTCGTCAGAGGTTAATTTGAAGGCGGAGTCTTTATGAGGTGTGATTGAAGCTCCAGGAGCAGTAAAGATGTGCAGAGCTGCTCTGTAATCAACTGTGCTGCCAGTGTTGGCATTAAATTAGGAGTGAAATATGAGTCGGTCCCATCTTTAATGTGAGCAGAAGGCACTGAAACAATAACCACTGTAGATCTTTAACTTTCTGTTCGATGCTGTCTGCTCAAATATTCAACAGCAGGATCACAGAGAAGTGCAGTAAAGGTTTTCTGGGGTTTTGTCGGCTGGTTGTACGTCTATAATATCTGTAAGAGCTGTTGGTCTGTGACACTGTAACGCTGTGTTGACAAAAGGAGCTGCAGCGTCTCCATTGTCTCCATTGTCTTCATGTAAATAATGCAAAACCTATTTTCTTAACAACCCCCTGTAGAGAACGTCGACACGTACAGTGGTCACAGGCAGCCATGACACTGTAGTACTGTGTAGTACTGATCACATGACAAATTAACTTAGACTTAAATATTGAAGTTTTTGTTTTTTTTTCTCTAATTAAAGGACCAGTCTTTTGACGGAATGATGAAGATGAATTTAGTTTTCTCTTCATCAGAGTGTGATGATTTGGACCTTTACTCTGGGAACATCAGGAAAGTCGTCTCTTTAGGGGATCCAGGCAGGAATTGCCTGGATCTCGAGACAGCCAATTATTTATTTTTTATTTTTTAAAATTTCGATTAAGTTGAATAAAATTAAATAACAAGTGTAATGTTTTCTTAATTGAGTTTCTATAAAACTATTTGTTTTATTGAACATTATTGATTATTACAACTTTTAATTAATTTTGTTGAACGTATTATATTTGTGACATTATTTGTGACAAATTGTTCAGTTTGTACAACATTAACCCAGTGTGTAGTGTAATATAAAATATGACCTGCAGTTGTTGAAACCCTCGTTTCAGTCGACTGAAATCTCATTCTCATTTTATGACTCGATACAGATAACAAAGAAAAGATGAGGCTGGAAGTCGAGCTCCACGGCTTTAACTGTAGCTTCTTTATGATTTTTAACTGTAGGAAGTTGTAATAAATAAAACTAATATGTACGTACGTACATGAAACGCCTCGCAGGCTGTACACACACAAATACTACAAACTGCCTCGAGGAAAGAACAGAAAGATACGGAGCTCACTGGAGCACAGATCCAAACAGAACTTCATCAACTAACACTCACCCAGTGATAAAATGTGTGTGTGTGTGTGTGTGTTTGTGAGACACTGACCACTCGTAGTCCTGGCGTGTGCAGGAGCAGTTGGAGACGGTGACGGGTCGGTCGAAGTCCTCTCCGTTGAAACACGTGGCGTGTGGCGCTCGTCTCTTAAATGTTATCTCTCTGCCCAGCAGACACTCGTTACCGTGTTCGTCTGACGGAGACCAGCGCTTGTAGTCGGCATCAGAACAAGGGACACCTGGGAAGACGCACGTGAAAAAAAGAGACAAATTTGAGGACTGGTAGAGCTGTTCCTAAAATGATGGTTTAGGGTCCAGTGAGAGGCCGCAAGCCTAGTGCTGGTGGGGCAAACGAATTTCAAGATGGAAAACGTCCTGTGCCGCTCCACCTACCCAGGACGTCCGAGGTGTTGACCTGCAGGATCAGCCAGCTGTGCCTCTGGTTTGCGTAGGAACCAAAGATGGTGAAGATGGTGCTCTTCTCCCCGGGCTCCGTCAGCAGCTGGTAAACGTACACCTCTTTGTCTGAGAACTGGAAGTCAGTCCAGGTCTCACCTTCGTTGGTGCTGAACCTGTAAATGATATTTAAAGTTATTAAACCCAGACCAGACCAGTCGGTTGAACGTTGGGGACAAAGAGAATTATTTTCTTGTGTAAACAAACGTCAAACCGTCGCTGCTGATTTTAGAATAAAGATGTTTTATTACTCAAGGTCTGTTTGTTTTTTTTTATCCTCTGAGCTGTTTTGCATTCTAACGTTCAGCTCCATGTTATTTATGAGTGTGTCCACCGGGGCATGAGCACATTTAGATTCTCAATTCTCAAGATTAGCTCCAGTTGTTTGGGGATTTCACCTGGAAACTCTCCAGGAACGAGGAGCCAACATGGCTTTTACAGTCTGAATGATCACAGCTAAAACCACAGAGGTTCCCTCTCACACTTACTTCAGATGTGTGGTGGAGCCCCCTTGTGCGATAGCCACTAAGATGCCACCATGGTCCCCCCAGGTGTAGAAATGCGGTCCTGCCAAAGACTGGACATGACGGACACATAAACATTTTATTTAATAAAACTGGACTTTTCTTTACATTGAAATATTTAAATGACTTGGCAGCTGAGAGCAGAAATTTGAACACGTCTGTTGGTTTTATTCACGACGAGTGTCGCCTTGACCTCTCCACCATACTGACCTCTCTCCACCGCGCTCCAGCGCTGCTGGACACATACACGTTGGGTTTGCTCGCCAAGTTCTTCCCAACAGATCCTGCAAACAAATGGAAGTTCACCTTTAATTTCTGAAGCGGTGGTTCACAAATGACCAACAGGTGGCCTCGTAGGCGTCAAGTCTGTGCGCTTAACAGACCTGGACTGCAACCAGAAATTATAATTATTACAGGACGTGACTTCAAGTATTTTTTTCAGGCAGCAAAAGTTCAACAACAGTCCACTTCTAGAATTGAGAAAATTTGTTTTTTTCATAATCCTCAGACGCTAACAACAAAGTGTCACTAATGGAAAAGAGGATGTTGTAAAAACCCAACTTGTGAAATTGCCTCTGTCACAACACAAGGTGCGTCAACGATTAAAATCATATTTTTAATATATCTTTATATAACAACACAAGGTGCGTCAACGATTAAAATAATCATTATTTTATCATATTTTTAATATATCTTTATATTTTTTTTTACATTTTAACATAAGAAACTGTGTAAAATGTGGATTAGATACATTATTTTTTGCAGAGACAGTGAATGAAAAATGTGCTGTGGCAGCAAAAAACACATTTAATTAAAAGTTCTGCCAGAATCATCATCATTGTGCAACATTTCCAGTATTGATAACAGCTATTGACTACAGATCCACGGGGCTGCACTGTTTGACTGTCGCAGCACCCGATACGAAAAGTCTTTCTCATCATGATGCACAGCAACATAAACCAGTAGAAATAAGTGGTGAAATCAGACGCAGTGACATGGACATCATGAGCTCCGTGGCCACAGTCACACAAGAAACAGGTACAAATGGAGATGCTAATGCTAATAGACCAGACATGGGCGAACTTTCGGACTCTCTCTCTATTCTCTATATATATATATATACACATATATATATATATATACATACATATATATATATATAATAAAAAATATATATTTTTTATTATATATATATATATCTATATATATATATATATGTTTATATATATATATATACACATATATATATATATAATATTATAAACATTGAAAAGATTTTTGTATTTTGTCCAACCCTGGCGTCTGGACAACACTCTGTCTGAGTGACCCGTCCATTCACCTGACATCACGCTCACTGATAAAGCAGCAGCGCTACCTTCAACAAACACATTAGTGGATTATGTGGAGGAACGCTCGCTGTAAACTGTTGAGTTTGTAAACATGATAGCAGTCTGTCAGTATCCATCAGCGTGTTGGAGAGCCCGCTGGGCCTGCAGCTGTAATTGGCCCATCTGTTTGAGAGCGATAATGAATCAAACAGCAAACCTCCCTCCCTCCCTCCTCGTTCTCCTCCCGCTCCTGTTTTCTCCCAGCGTGCATTATGTATTAAGGATTTAATTAGAGGGACTGGCCACGCTTATGGAAAACAGTCTCCTAGACACCAGAGAGCACTGACAAGCTGCAGGAAGAACGTCTGCCACGGTACCAGATTCTAATGTTTCTGGACAGCCAAACGTGCCGCGGTGGTTTACTGAACTTTTCATGTGATTTAACTTGGAAACTTTCACGATTCACGCTGCGCAGATTCAATTGCTTTTACCAGCGCCGTGGAAGGATGTGACCACATCTCCAGAGAGGACATTTAACTGAACAAACAAAAACACCAGAGTTGAACCTCAGAGTGTGTGTGACTTGTTTCCTGTTTTCAACTCTGTGACAACAACAAGAGGAAGTTGGTAAATAACCTAACCACAGTGATACGAGCTCGCCAAGATGAGTCAGATTCACACCAAGGTGACAGCAGGAAGGGGCCAGAACTTTTATTTTTTTCAAAGTGAATTTCTTGTCATTGCGACACATCACACCACTGCACGCACAACCAAATGTGCTCAGAGCACTGGTGGACTCGAACCTGAAACCTTAGTCCACCTCCTTAACCACCAGGCCACCACTGCCCCATTTACTAAGCTTATTAAACACAATGACTTCTGCAAAATGGCCGTTCTAGACAGGATTTAGAAAACGAGGAAATGTTGAACGTTTCTCAGACGCTCCGACAGTTTTGGTTCAGTGTCTCTGTTTTTGTACCAGCAACTTTTTTGGCCAGTAGTGAAGGAGACGGTGGAGGTAAAGACGCCTTATGTCAAAAACACTTGAGGGACGTTGAGAGATTATTGTGATTTTATTTAGTACTACTAAATAAAAACTTTCAATTTTTTACTTTTGTTTTTTTTATATCACATGAACTTGACGTCACTTGTTGATCTGACTGCACTGTTTGAAAGCTGTGTTCAGTGATGAGGTTTGCGGTCCTACCTGTGGCCATGATGAGTCCAGGTGCAGAGTCCTTGGATAAGATGGGCATCCGTCTGAGCTGGATGTTGAACAACTGGCTCCAGCGCTGGGCCAGGTGAAGAGAACAACCCTTACTGAGCTGCAGGAAGAAAAGAAGCAGATGTTTTCATTTACAGTAATGTGTTTTTCATTCTGCTGTTGCCTTCGTGATAGTTTTGTGTCTGTGCCACTAATCCCTCCTTATCCGTCGGCTCATGATGGATTTCCCGGGCTGCGTCTTTTGGAAAAAATAGGATAAGGTTTACAGACGAATCAACTTATTATGGACTGTTGTCCTATTTTTCTTTTCTTTTTTCAAACAATGCAGCTCACAGCTCTTACATGGAGTTTAGAGCACTGTTTCTCAACTGGTGATTTGGGACCCGAAAGTAGGTCGAAGCTTTTCTTATGTGGGTCACAAATATGTCCGAAAAAGAAGATTTTAAAAATGTTGATTTAAATTCAGGGCTTTGTTACATTTTTTTTCTTGTTTGTCATTGGTGACTTTAATGATGTTTACATATATACACAGTATATACATTTTTTTTTCTTCAAATTTTCTGATTTTGGCTATTTGTGTACATTGAACAAAAACTGAACATTGACAAAATTAGAAAAAACATTTATCCAACTAACTGAGAAAATACAAAACCATCGACCAGGATTCTGATTGGTCAACCCAGAATAATGATAAAACCGCGGCGTACCTCACAGTCCACAGTTCCTCCCAGACTGTCGGCGGCGGGAGGCTGAAGCAGCTCCCATGTTCCTCCTTTGTCAAAGGTGATGACGGATCGCATGTTATTCTCGCTGACCGAGCCGTTGATGAGTGTGGCGATGAAGACGCCACGCACACCCTCCACGGGATGCAGGTCTGCAAACGGCTCATTGGCGAAGTACCTGACATGTAAAGGAGGGAGAGACGATGGTGATGAGTCATTAGGGTCAAGAAGAACTGAGGGTTTGAGCAAGTCTTTGTATTCCACTGACACCTCGGTTATAGAACACGGAGTGAGTCTGTTACCAAATGACTGAAACTTCCCCCTAACCTTGAAAGTAACAGGGATGAGACTGAAAGTAGAACTGACTTCCATCGTAACAGAACTTATCTGCATATTTCCCATATCAGGAGCTGGTTCAGCTCTGCACCACTGAGCACCGATCTGCAGCACAGTGCTGCCAACACCTGCTTTACGACTGATGATGTTTAATGTGCTGGCAAAGCAGCCCTGGGGGCATAAAGACGGGCCGGGGTGGGCCGGGGGAGGGTGGGATGCAGTGAAATCAGATGAAATTGAGCTTGTAGCCAAACGACTGAGTGAGTCCATTATTGCCCCCCAGTTGTACAAAATGACACGGAAACATTCAAATCAAACACGCCGTTAATGGGATCAGACTTTATCAAACACACGTGACGTTCCCCTGATGCTGCTGTGGCTCAAAACAGCTGAGCTAATCAAGGGGGATCTGCCAAAACATGCCTTTAATTTTCAACAATCTGTGATCATCTAATGTGATTGTCGCAGCAAATGTGTTTTTCCACTGTAGTCAAAACAACATCTCAGGAGGAGGAATAATGGAATCAGAGAATCAAAGGTGTTTTTGCAGGTACGACATTTCATAAAGAAACTTCCAGAACTGGAAAAGTACGTCCAGATGTACGAGAGCCGGGCCGAGTCCTGCGTGACTTCCCTTCACATCCCATTAGAACATAAACTGTGTGGGAGTGGCACGCCCTGCTGTAGCTCCTCCCACATAAATCATTACATCTGTGTGCTGTCTCAGCAACAAAGACGTTTACCTGCAGTCCAACACTGTGTCCTCACTGTGAGTCTCACTGGGTCTTAAAGAGCCAGTCTGCACTAATGACCCTCTGTCTCTCTGTCTCTCCCGGCACTGACTCACAGCACAGACAAATAACAACAGATAAAACAGTCAGTTGATGAAGAGCTGCTCGTACGGATTCATTTTCTTTGACACATCTTCTAGTTAGTTTCTATGATTTGATTGAGTATTTTTAATGTTTGTGTGAGAACAGTTTATTCCTAATGCTGCCTCCTGTGGCAGCTTATGATTTCTACAGTGTACTCGGTGGCGCCTCCCATGGCAGCCTGTGTCAGTTATTGTTATTATTATTATTAGTAGTAGTATTAATAGCATTATTATTATTATTATTGGTAATAATAATAATAATAATGTGGTAAGTCAGTGTACATAATTCTTCTGAATTGCGGTGGCAGTTAGATTATTTATTCCATCTACTATTCAGAGCACCAACACCTCACACTTTATAAATACCACTCTGGGTTCTCTGCGCTACCACTTTTTCTCATGTTTATGTCCAATGGATTTTGCAGGATCAAGAAGATTTCAGCCAGCCAATAAAACTCTGGCAACTGTTAACAAAGGCTTGAAAAAAAATAGGAACAGGGTGAAAAGCACTCGGTCTTCATGCGAGAACATGTTGTACATTCATCTGAACACAGAGGAGAAAGAACTGCAGCCGAAGCACCGAACAGATCGTATGAAGCCGCAGAGCTGACAGAATTATTAGCCATAACTGCACCACCCACTGTACAACCTCAGGGAAACATTACAGGTCAACAACCAGAAGGAGAAAAATCGACAGAAATCCACGGCTGCGTTTGTCGACGGAAAAACAGAACAAGGATCCAGAGAAGGAAGCAGTCCCTGGATTGACTGAGGGAACCGCAACAAAATGCATCATTTACTGGAGTGGAATTCTAACAAATCCTCATAAACTGTTAAGTTCATGTGTTGGGAGTGATCAATAATGTTACCGTACAGTGGTTTGGTCTTCATTTATAATCTACAATAGTCGTAATTTATTTTATTGTGATCCAATCAGACATCACCAATTTTTTGATCAACAAAAAACATACATAAAAATGATCTTTTTCAATGTATTTAAGTTGAGTTTCATTGTACAGAAGTCACAGGAATCTCCGTCAAATATGTCAAATTTCACAGTAAATTTAACTGTCGCTGAAACAGTAACGACTCATGTGACTCCCAACCTGTAATAATCCCACAACAACAGGGCCTAAATATGGGTCTGATTAACATTAATTTAACACTTAAGTGAATTTTCCATAATGAGGAGAATTGAACATCATCATCATCAGCCTGCGGCGAGGTTACGTGGCCCGTGTTTGCCTCAACCCTGACGTGTCACATTTCACCTCTTCTCTGGGGGATTACACACGAATTACATTAACAAAAAAAAAGAAAACATTACCTCGGGAACATTAAGTGGGTTACAGAGTAGTTGAACAGACGAGGATTGAGAAGAGAAGAATGTCAGTCTGAAGCCAGACCTCGTGTGCAGTGTAATTTATGGTCGACGTCTGTGGTTTTCATTCGAAGACCTCTCAGGGAGTGAGAAGGGAGGGTCGGGGGGGGGGATCAGTCGTTTTTATACCTCAGCGCTAATTTCGGAATTCTATTATGTTTTTTGTTTTTTTTTGCAACAGCAGTTGAGCTATCGAGAACAGATTATCCGTCGCCTCAGATTTAAAGGCTAACGTTGTCTCTGTGATTAGACGCCGAGAGGCAAAGATTACGAACAAAGCACCACAATAATAAAATTACAGTTCATTATCTCTGAGTTCCAAAAATGTAATTAAAGTATTCAGGTGTTTGTATTTGCATTCCTCAGAGGAGTACGTGGAGACAGGAGGTAATACTGCAAACACGGTTTGAACTACGGGAACAAGCGCATAACTGTCGGCAGATTGAGGGTGGGTGGGAACAGAAGAAGTACTGATACTGTACTCCAAATACTGACTTACTTACAGTGAGTCTTTACGGCCATGTAATACTGTGAGTTCTTAGTGAACAAAATAGGCAAAAACACATTTCTGTCCAGCGGCTGTTGGAGGTGTACGGCTCCTTCTAGAACAGTAGCTCAGCCCAGCGTTGTTGACTTCTCCGACAAGTTTTGCCTTTTGCAGTTTTAAGTAATTTTAGTTATATTGTTTATTGTCAATAGTGTAGCGGTTGCCAGACCTGGTCTTGGGTTTGAGTCCCAGAAGGTCCTCACCGAGGGACTCAAATTACAAACAATATGTGTGGAGCAGCTGACTCAGGGTGACGGGCAAATACTTTTACTAAGAGAGACACTGGCTCAGTGTCCCAGTGTAGTCTTCTGTTTAGAACGAGCACAGCAGGTTTTTGATAATGTATGAAAATCAGATAAAACGTGCACAAGTGTGTGTGCGTGTGTGTGTGTGTGTTTCACCTGATCAGCGTGTTGCTGCCTGTGCCCTCGGGACTGTAATACAGCACGTTCTCCAGCGACAGGGAGAAGGACAGGCCCTGAGTGTCCGAGATGTAGAGGTGTGTGATGTTGTTGAGGTGGTTCACACACACAAACACCTGCTCCTCAGACGCATCTGCTATGTAGTACTCCTGTGAAGTCAAAGAAGAGAGTGAGTGGAGGGGGGGTGCCAAACATATGGCCCGTGGTCCCAAACTGGCACACTAGGGGGGTTCAATCTGGTCCCCTTGATGAATTTTAAAAGTTAAAGTAAAAAATCTGGTCCCCTTGATGAATTTTGAAAGTTAAAGAAATGCACAAAAACCTCATGTTGGTGATGTTTTGTTTTACAATGACCTGTTGCTAAGATACCTGCTCTTGTTCTGATCATTTAGGACGAACCTGAACACGTCAGCATCAGACCAGTGAAGATTTAAATTAGCTTAAAAACAGGTCAGTTTAAAAAAATATATTTTGGGGCGGAGACCTTCACTAGTTTTACATGTCTGCACCAGAATGACACAGAAGGAAGTTTTGAAACTCTTCATTGTTCTGATGCTTCTTTTATTCCGTCACAGCAGAATCATTTCCCAACACTCAGAAGAAGACTCACTGTGATTGGATGGCGGGTCATGAACTGGGCAGCTTTCATCGGCTGGCGGTTGTAGGAGACCCAGAGCTGAACAGACGACGGCTCGTGGCTGCCAAGCAGTTTCTGCAGAGACGGAGGACAGAGAGACAGCAGTGTTTACTGAACCACTCATCACCTTCTGCTATAAACCGTACAACGTTCTGCAAAGAAAGTCATACACAAAATACAGAGGTGGAAAACTCTGAACAAAAGTGGCATTTTCAACACGAGTCAAATGTGTCGAGGGCTCGGGTGAAACCAGCCACACTCTTAAGATTTTAGAGCTTTTTTTTATTATCATGAGGAATTATAAAAGGCTTTATGTTTAGATTCCCTGAATTAAAATGTAGATATTTCTGGAACAATTTACGGATTCGACTGAGTCAGAAAACTCAAAAATGCACAAAAGAAGGGGAATACATGTTTTTTCTTTACACACTTTTAATTAAAAAGAATAATACACTGAAATACTTTGAATCGTTCTGTCTGTTACTGGCTCTTTGTGGTATTTCAAGGTTGGCATGACTCAAATTTTTGGGATGTGCTGAAATTAAATTTTCCAAATTCTTCCAGCTTTAAAAGGGCCACCGTACGCCACAGTCCAGAGGAAGTGCATTTCAGCCGTTCTCATTCAGCCTGATTGATTTATTCAGTGTCGACGCGTGCTGACCGGGGGCTGTGATCTGAGAGCCAAGCAGCAACAACACGGAGACAAAGGGAAGGAATGAAGAAAGGGACATTAACGGTGCTGCCAGAATCCACACTGAGGATCATTTAATGATGAACTCTGAAAAGAACACATTCCTCATGTTGGAACTACTCACAAATATTAGAATATTATCAAACATTCAGCTGACATCTTTAGACTTTTTTTTTAGGGAAAACACGTTTTATCCATTTATGCAGTTCAAATATGTGGATATTTCATTCATTTAATTAAATTAAAAAAAAGTGAATTTAATTTCTGACTTTTTATGTCATCATTCTCACGTCTGACTGTACTGACTGAATTGCATAACTATAATAATATAATCACCCTCTTAATCAGTTACGTCAATAGTTATTGGCTGGGACCGTTGCTACGTCAAAAGGCAGTTCACGATCACACACCGTGCGTAATTTTCCATCTGAGAAGAAGAACTCTCCCAATCTCAGTCCTGGTTTTCAGGTCAGATTACTCTGTGAGTTATGAAGGAAAGTTGGACTCGGGAATATCAATGAGGTACTTTCACATGTATCACTGAAATCGACTGTTTTTCCGTGAAATCCGCAGATTCCAATCCAGTGGTTACTGTAAGTGAGCTGGGATAACCCCTAAAACCCAATTCTCTCCACATTCCCAACCCCCGCTGTGAGGAACGGCTCGATGAAGACAGATAAAGTCGGCGCGAGCTGCAAACGGGCTATTGTGATGATATTGAACGGAAGAGAGAAAACGCTGAGCTCCAGCAGCTGACATCACCCGATCCTCACACACTGAGACAAAAATCAAAGAGCAGCAACACTGGCAGGGTTTTTTTTTCTTTAAAAGAGTTATGTTACTGCTCAGCAAACTGCCAGCCGCAATTATACAAAGTGAACTTTGTGTTTGCAGAGATGCCTGAACGGCCTGAGGCGAGTAAGAGGAGAGACGTTTATGAGTCAGATCCCCAAAGATTGAACTAATTGTTAAGTCTAAATAAAAGTGCACTGGCACTTGGTGGAAAGTAAAGTACGTGAGGATGTGGATTATTGAATTTCTTTTTTTGTCAATAATACAGAGGCATTTAATAATGTTTTTAAATATTTCATCCACACAAACGGCCAAGATTCAGCTCAGTCTAGGTCAAAATATCAAACCTTGTTAGAAAAACCACCAGTGACCTACGGGCAAACAAGGTTTACTACGTCACCAACGTCAGTCAACTGTAATACAAACACAGCGGCAATGAATATGCAACATGTAGCCAATAGTAACAAGAACTCTGTGAGGCACAGGTTTCTCAGAAAATAAAGTAAAAACAATAAGTGGTACTCCTATAATATTTAGTGCTGAACTACGCAGTCATTTCACAGTAACCTTTGACACTTAACATCCAAAGTAAAAGCTCAACGGACGCAAAGAAATAAGGCGACATTTGTTAACGACCGGCCCAGGAGGAGACGGTGTTCACTGATGGCTCTTATTTAGGGCTGACCCTTCATCACGAGCGAAGGTACCGGCAGAAATGACACTGGAACCATCTGGAAATGTCACACGACGGCCTCCGAGGCAGAGCTCCTTTGTTCCCCCCTCGTGGCGTCGGCTGAGTCCATCAGACCTTTATGAGCGCTGAGTTTTGGTAATGAGGTCCCCTGTCTGTTCTGGCCCAGCCCGTGTCCCCGAGATCAGCCGCTGAATATTAATGAACTGCTGGGACGATGCACTTGAGATAGTGACTGTTACTCAGCCATTCAGCCCACCGCATTAGGACTGAGCACTGTTCCTTTTCTGGAAGGAATCTTCATTACCAAGTTTATTCATCGGTGTAACATTTTTTGGTTTTCCTGGGCTGTTTTCTTAGTTTCATAGATCCTCATGCCTTTAAATCAAACAGTAATGACAATTATTAAAAAACAAAACAAAAGCACATTCCAGGGCAGAGGAGTGAGTGACGTTAGCTCTCCTCTACTTCCCCTCTGATCAAACCAAAGGCTGGTGTCTGTCTGGTCTGATTTATTCTCTTAGCCCCAGGACATCTGACATTAGATGAAACCCCGTTCATGGATCTTTAATTATCCTGAACACCTCGGCGTTGCCAAAAGCCCTAGTGATATTCCATTATTCTAATCTCATTAAGATAAAACTTTTTGGTCAATTTTAACTACAGCTACAGCTCAGAGATACAGCCAGGTGACGGAGCGCATTCCTGAGGAGGTTGACAACATTTCAGATCCAGAAACAAAGACCTCACTGTTGGAGGTGAAATATGTCTACAAAAAAACCAAACACAAACAGAAATTGTTATGGTTGTCCAACTCCAACACACTGTTTGTTTATCATTGGTTTTCTGGTTCCTTCTAGAACAAATCAACAGTTTATAATAATCGGAGCTCATCCAGTTTAGGTCTCGATCCAAGTCTTGGTGAAAAACATTTTAAAGTCAGATATTTCTCTAAAGACTATGAACTGTTCAATCACCTGAAAAACATTTTAAAGTCAGATATTTCTGTTCAATCACCGTTGTAGAAGCTGCAGTATCGACATTTCTAACCTCGAACATCGGTGCAATATTATGAGAGACCATCGCAACATATTTTTTTATTTTTAGTAATCATAATTTTCTAAACGTAAACCAATTCTAAGCCAGCTAGCGTTTGCTATTTTGAGGTATTAAGTATTAATAATTAAGTATATAATAAGTATTAAGCTACATTTTGACATAACTATATCTGTCGCTGAACATTTGGGTAACTTTGGATATTTTCGGTAAAATAAACGAGTTATAAAAATCAGCTTTCCTTTTTAGCAACTCTGAAAATTACAATACAGATTAAAGCAACTTGTACCAACTCTGTGAAGGAGTGAGTGTGTGTGTGAGTGGGTGTGTGTGAGTGTGTGTGTGTGAGTGGGTGTGTGTGAGTGTGTGTGTGAGTGTGTGTGTGTGAGTGGGTGTGTGTGAGTGTGTGTGTGTGAGTGTGTGTGTGATAACACAGAAAAGCAGCTGCTCATGACAGATCCTCCCCA